GGATGGATGGTGAAGAGATTGAGATTGTATACAGCTTTAGTTTGCTTGGCTCCATAGTCAACAGTCTTGGCACCAGCAGCCAGGAAATTTATATATATATATTTAAAGTTATTTTCAATAAACATTTATATATATATAAAGTTATTTTCAATAAAAACTTGATTGTACAAAATTATAAGTCAAGTCTCAGTTCTGTCACCCAGGCGATATTTTCCAATTACCAGTTCTTTGTTTCCTACTTCTACTTTCCAGTCACTAGTTATTATCAATGCATCTTCATTACGTTTGATCAATTTCAAACTGCAGAAATTATTAGAAGTTCTCACTTTCTTTGGTGGTTGGTCATATATTTCAGTAATAGTTATATTAACAAGTCTTACTTGTATGTATGTGGATATTATCCTATCACTCACAGCATTGTATTTCCAGGCTAGCTCTTTAAACAGTCTTTTTGACAATGAATGTGACACCATTCCTCTTCAACTGGTCATTCCTTGCATAATACGGTCTGATTCAAAGTGGCCAATACCTGTCCATCTTAGCTCATTAATGCCTAGGATGTTAAACTGTATGCATTCCATTTCATTTTGACAACTTCTAGTTTTCCTAGATTCATTCTTCAAACATTCTGCATTCTGGTTGTTAGTAGATGTATACAGCTGTTTCACTTCATTTTGAATCTTGCCACGTCAGCAAATGAAGGTCTCGTCATTGGGTGAAAGCTTTACTCCATCTGTGCCATTAAAGTAGACTCTACTTGAGGGACATCTCTTTCTCAGTGGCATTTTGAGTACCTTACACCCTGAGGGGCTCATGTTCGGGAAATATATCCAGCAGTGTTCTTTGGTTACCCACAGGGCTTTTGAAGGCTTATTTACAAAATGGGTGGCCAGTCTTGCTTCTTAGCCTGTCTTAGCCTAGAAGCCTGTCTTACCAATGGTGATCCTGTTAGTATTTGAAATACTGGTAGTATAACTTCCAATATCAAACACAGAAAGCATCACAGTGTGGCAAACTGATAGACAAGTGATAGGGTAGCACAATACACAGTTCAACCCATTATGTAAAGAGCCATGGCAACACAGTGCGTAAGAATTTGCCCAAGAATCCAAGCAGTCACTCTGAGGGAGAAAGATAAGGCAATATACTTCTGAAAAAAATGTACAGCCTTGATGTTTCTACATTCATGTTGGTATATGTTGTTTAATACACCCATGCATATAACATAGGGCAGTGTTTCAATCTGTCATTTATAGGGTCCTAGTCCACTTGAAGGCAATTAACAGCAGTGTATTGAAGTGTCAACAGAAGAGACTTCCTTTGTAAGCATCTTAATCATAATCAGATACCTTGAGGGAATGGGTTTTAGTTCTGAGAATTGGAATCATAATCTTGGGAGACATCAAGATCAGTTAGCTTAACTTAGTCCATAAAGACAATATTCTATATTCTCCTTTGGTGAGTAGAAACTAGAGTCATAAATACTTGTGAACAGCCATATAGGGACAACTCTTGGTCTTTTCCTGTGTGGATCAAAGAAGAGGGGGTGGAGGGAAAGCAAAAGTGTACTGAAACAGTCCAAATGACTAATGGACCACGTAAACCCCAACATCCTCATCCCTGAAACCTGAACTGGATGGTACATAGATACCATTGCTGACACTTTAGATCCTTTTAAAAGGGATCACAGTGGAAGATCCTGGTTGGAGTGGTGGGGTGGAATATGGAACAAATCTCAGAATCATAAAAAGGCTAGCTATTCCAGTAGAGACTGGTAGAACCTCCAGGACTATGTCCCTAGTCACCTTTGGAACCTGTAACAAAATTCAGCTTTCAGCCAAACAACAGACAGACCCATTTGATGAACGGCGAGCTCTTGTAAGACTGCTTCCAACTCAAAATCACATGGTCAAATCCACCAGCTGCTCTGCAGGAGAAAGATGAGTAGTGTCCTTCCATGCAGTTAACAGCCTCTGCAAACCAGCTGCATGTTGAACAGCAGCATCAGGGAGGCACTAACTCCTTAGATTAAACCTAAGAAAGAGCAGCATTTACCCAAGCATAAAGCCCCGAAGACAGGAGGGGTAGGGTAAGATTAAAGACAAATAATAGGGAGGAAGTGGGAAAGGGGATTGTTTGTAAACGTTCATCATTATTTTTGTAAAATACAATGCATGACAATGGTTGTATGAAACACAGTGTGAAAGAACAGTGTGAAACACAATGTATGTGAACTTTGTAAGCAAACCAATTTAAAAAAATCACAATTTAAAAAGAGAGAGGGAAAAGACAGATTAAAAAATACACACACCCAATAAATCTATCTTTTTATCAATAAAAAATTATAATGAAAAAATTTCTAGCTTTAAAAAACTTATGGGCAATTCCACTCTGCCCTAGATAGTCACCCTGAGTCAGTACCTAGTCCAGGTAGTGGGTTTGATTTGGGTTTTGGTTCCTTATTTTACTATTAATTCTTGCTGTTTTGAGGTTCTTCGTACTTTTTACCATCTAGCCCCCAGTTTTTTTAAGGTACATTTCACTTTTTGTTTTTTAAGCTAAGTATCTGTTATCTGCTTAGGTAATGAATATAATGCAATTGCAAAAAAAAAAACACAAACCCAATAAAAAAAGAAATTTTACTTGGTTGTGTACTTTGTTGCATAATCAAATCAATTATAGCAGCATAAATGTATAAAACAGAAAAGACTTGTAAAAAGTAAATAATAGCAAAGCACAGAAAGAGAAGAAAAACTTTAATTTTTAAAAAATCCACATAATTTTAATAGCAGTATCTGATATAGATGGTACATACATAGAAACAAAACTGTAAATCAACCTGACTTAAGACTTCTGCTGCAAAAATCCTAAATACAGTCTAAGCAGAGAGTCTAATAGCACAAACAACTAAGGTTCATTCAAAGAATGCAGAGATCATCTCTTGGTTTAATTAATTTATCAACTCACTAGATTCAAGGAGTTCTGTGCAGTTGTTAAAACATGAGGTATGTTTTAGTTGTTAGGTGCTATCAAGTCGACTGTGACTCATGGTGACCCTGTGAACGACAGATTTGAGCATTATCCTATACTGCACATTCTCACAAGTCTCTGCCATGTTCAAGCCCATTGCGGTTCTCACCGTGTCAATCCATATTATCTAGAGTCTTCGTCTCTTAGTCTCTTTTCTCTGACCTTCCACCTTTCCTAACACAATGTCTCTCTTCAAGGGTTGGTTCCTCTTTAGAATATACCCAGAGTAAGTGAGATGAATGAAGCCTCACTATCCTTGCCTTTGAGTAGCAGTCTTGTTGAGATATATTAACTTAGAAATGGAGAGGGGAAATCTTCAGTATGTACTATTAATTGAAATGCTCAAGATCCAGAAATAAATACAGTGTATTGTGTAAGACTAACTTTTCAGTCTGTGTAGTAAGTATGTGTGCTTATATGTTTGTGACCACACACATAGTTATGTATACTAATTCTCTTTATTATTGCCTGTTGTCAAAAGTAGTAAAGCTAGCCTGGTAAGGATTTCATCTGTCAGAAGATTTTCAGTGCCTCAAGTATGGAGGTGAACTGTTGTTGAGAATTAACTTGCTGTTTTTATTGTTGCAGGCGTATCTGGATCCAGCTCACATCATGTCTTCTTTTGAAGATGCTGACACAGAAGAGACAGTAACTTGTCTCCATATAACTGTTTACCATCCTGGTCAGCTACAAAGTGGAATATTCCAATCAATAAGGTTTTTTAATCGAGAGAAACTTCCCTCCAGTGAAGTGGTGAAATTTGGCCGAAATTCCAACATCTGTCATTATACCTTTCAAGACAAACAGGTTTCCCGAGTTCAGTTTTCTTTACATTTGTTTAAAGACTTCAATAGCTCAGTTCTTTCTTTTGAAATTAAAAATATGAGTAAGAAGACCAGTCTGATAGTGGACAACAAGGAGCTGGGCTACCTGAACAAAATGAACCTGCCCTATAAGTGCATGGTCAGATTCGGCGACTACCAGTTCCTCATGGAGAAGGAGGATGGGGAGTCTTTGGAATGTTTTGAGACTCATTTTGTTTTGTCACCAAGGTCACTCTCACAAGAGAGCATCTGGGGAACTCGGAGTCCCATACCTGAGAATGGTAATTATTCATCCTGTTTCAGTAACAGCACTTCTCCTACAGAAATGGATGAAAATGAATCCTGAACATACAAGGCTAAGAAGAGCGCATGGAGGAGGAAGAGCTCTAAGAAGCTTAAGAGACACTTCTAGTATTCGGAGTTTACTAGTATATTGATTGGGTAAAGCCTCAGATCTCCTGATACGCTGTCAGACTTAGGATGTGGTGTACCATTTTCAAGTCTTTAAATTGTGGTAGTCAACGGCTTAGTCACCTGTTGCATTCCAGGATCTGTGAAGTAGACATACGTGAGACTAATGTACAAAATACCCTTTGTGGTGAAGGACTAGTGTTCTCAAAACAAGGGTATATTGGCTTTTTAAATCTTTTATTTTAATTCTATGTTTTGTTTTTTGTAAGAAACCATGTCTTGGCAGCTCTTTCATGGCAGCCCTTTGTTTCCATGGTCAAGACTGAGCAGGTTGTTTCTGCTGTTTTAACCTGTTGCTGCTTATAGTGCCGAGAACACTGCAGAATGCCTTCTTGAGTAGTGCCTGTGTGCTGGCTGCAGGGGTTTTAATATGGAAGGAGTTAACTGAGAAATAATATTCTGAAGGGGTTTTTTTTCTGTCTGTGGAATAGCAGTGTTTTATCCAGGATGACAATCTGCTTACAGAAATTTGCCATCCAAAACACTTAAGTACTACAAAGAACCACTGTGCTTAAAACTATGTCTTACTATTCCTACCAAATGTTAAAAGTTTGATTTTTATGTACTAAACATAATTTTTTAAATTTTGTTACCTACCATTTTTATAGCATCTCTAAAGCCTGTTTTCTCTAGAATTGACTGATAGTAAAGAATTGTTATTTCTTTAGATAAGCTAATGTGTAACATGTACTTTTGTAATAAATGCTTAAATATTGTTCATGCAAATTTTCTTTTTTAAAAGCTGTGTTTATTTAAAAGATTCCTGTCTACTTATTTTAACTACGTAGTTAAAAAACTAAACAAAAGAATTGCCACAGGGTTGGTTCAAATGTATGCAAGCCCAAATATGTTGAATAGAACTGTGCTCCAAGGTTTTTAGTGGCAGGTTTTTCTGAAGCAGATGGTCAGGACTTTCTTCCAAGACTTGTCTGGGTGGACTTGAACTACCATTCTTTTAATTAGCAGCCCAGCATGTTAGCCATTGCACCACCCTGGGACTCCACTACATAGTTAATGAGTGTTAATAGTAATGGTAATTCCTCAGATGAGTTAAATGCTACAATTACAGGAAATTATATTATTGGTATTCTATACAAGTTACTGTTTTTAAATTGTAAAACTTAAAATGATACATCCTATGGATATTTTTCCCAGGAAATGGATTATTTTCTTGATCATCTCAAGAATAAAGGCATAGTGATTGGTGCCAGTGTTAGTAGTTTTTTATATCTGAAACGTCATGATATAGTTATGTTTCCCAGTGGTGAAATGTCCTTTCTTGTTGTTGCCGTCTAGTCATCTGTGATTTATACTGACCGTATTGTACAACAGCTCTGAACTCTATCTTAAGCCAATTTCATTGTCTCAGGCACACCTACTCTCATTGCCCCAGTTACTGAGTCAATCCATCTCATCCAGGGTCTTCCTCTTTTGCACTATCTCTCCACCCTTCCAAGGAGGATGTTCTTCTTCACAGACTGGTCCCTCCTGGCAACATGCCCAAAGTATGTGAGACAGAGCTTCAAAATCCTTGTCTCCAAGGAACATCCTGGTTTCACCCTCTCCAGGACAGACCTGTTTGTTCTCTAAGAAGTCCGTGGTATGTTCAGTACACTTATCCAGTACCACAGCTCAAAGGCATCAATTCTTCTATCATCCTTAGTCATTGTCCAGATCTCTGATGCATAGCAAGTAATTGCAAAGATCATGGCTTAGAGCTGGCACTCCTTAGTCTCTGGACTGATAGCATTGCTTGTCAGTACTTCGGAGAGGTCTCTGACAGCCAATTTTCCCAATGCAATTTGCCTTTTGATTTTCTAGCTGGTACCAAAGTGTTGGTTGTGCAGCAAAGCAAGCTGAAGCTGTCAATGATCTCAGTCTCTTCTCTATCATGATGTTGCCAATTGGCCCAGTGTTGAGGATCTTTGTTTTTTTGATGTTGAGCTTCAATACATATTGAAGGCTGTAGTCCTTGACTTTCTGCAGAAAATGCCTCAGGTCCTCCTCAGTTTTAACAAGCAGGCTTGTGTCATCTGCATAGCACGAGATGTTCATGAATCTTCCTCTGATCCTGATGCCGCATTCCTCCTTGTACCATGTGATTATATAACCATCTTCTAGAAGAACCATTTCTCCTACCTGATACACTTGACTGACTTTGGGAGAAAGATTCCTTGTAGGTTTTAACAGTAATATGAGTGATATAGTTTGTTTAAATGAGTGTGGGTTGCAGCATGTATTCACTTAAGACAGGTATTATTAAAATGATACATAAACAAATAATAATAGATGTGGCTTATTGAAAATTCAGTCCCAATCTCACTGCCAAGAGATTAACTACTGCTTCTATTCTGTGTGTGATTCTATTCTGTGTTAATCTATGGGATTAGGTGTGTAGGCTACAGGCATTGAAAGAAAATCATTTTTCTCTGGGGATAAAGGGACTTGGGCCATGACTGAAGGCACCAGCCATGCATCCAGGGATGAGTGGCACCACTGTGCTTCGTGCTTTGTGTTGGCTGGGGACAGTGACCACACCATAAGTAAAGAACACACTTCTGACTCAGCCAGCATTTGGAAAAATGTTTGCAGGATGCATTGGTGCTCGTGCAAGGGGAGAAAAAAAGAATGAAGTATGTTTTTTTTTTTAGCATACAGCAGCCATTCTCACTTGTGAATGTGACTTGGTGCTTCAGAACCTTAACTTTCCTTCACTTTCTGTATTAACTCCAGAGATCACGCAAAACCAGCTGGTTTTGTTATTTTAGTCTCCTCCTTTCTATATGCCGTGTGGTAATCTAACAGTATTTACTGAATATGCAATTATTCTTGTTGTTAAGTGCCATAGAATCAGAACAAGCCCATAGCTGACCCTCCAGCGAGTTTTCAGAGGCTGTTGACTGCATGGGAGGAAATTGCCTATTTTATTATTGACCTTTAAATATAATTACCACAAAGTATAAATAATAAAAATATGGAAAATGTATTTAACAAAAGGTCTGAAACCTTTGCACAGAATATATTTAATAAATAGACAAGCAGCATAATAAAGGATAGCCAAGTGAATCTTTGCCTCAGAAGAGAAAACATACTCTTGGTAATTGTCACTGGGCCAGCTGTGACGCAGGATGACCTTATGTGTGACAGAATGAAATACTGCCTTGTCTTTCATCATCCTCATTGCTGTTGGTATGTTTGAATCCATTGTTCTGGCCAATATTGTTTGCCATGGAGTTGGAACTGACCCGTAGCTGATCCTCCAGCAGGTTTTCAGAGGCAGTAAATCTCATGGGAGGCGATTGCGTGCAGAGCATCTGGTGGTTAGAACCGCGTGCCTTTAGGATTGCAGCACAGCTTCTTACCATTAAGCCACCAGGGCTCCCTGTTTTGGCCAATAAGCACATGGAAAAAATGTTCAATGTTATTAATAGTTGACTTCACCTGATAGCAACTTTATGCAAAACAGAATGAAATACTGCTTGATCCTACACCATCCTCATAATTGTTACTGTGCAGCAAGTTAAAAGGACAATGAGAAGAATAACCAACTCAAAGTTCCCACGACTAAGGATTTGTGACTCACTGAGGTTTAAATTAAAGTCTCTTGCAGGAAGTGGCAAACTCCCTCTGTTCCTCATCACAAGTTCAAAAATCCATAGTCCAGTGAAAGGGTGAGAGCAGAGGGGTGAGGATGGGTAGGGGCAAAATCACACAGTTGCACAATTTAGTGGGTGGAGGGAGGAGTTGAAGGAAATAGGAAAGATACAGTAGGGACCTGAAAAGACTGGGTAATGGTGGACATAGTCCAATGGTGATTAATTGTATAAGACACAATGCATGAGAATGACTGCATGACACACAATGTGACTGTACTGTGAAACACAATCTATGAGAGCTTTGTAAACAAACCAATATAAAAGTAAAAATTTTTAAAAATTCATAGTTTTTTCAACATACTGGACTATTTTAAGATCGTTGAAGGCAATAATTTTCACTGATAGAATTCCTGCCTTCTATGCAGGACACTTGGGTCCAATTAGGGACCAACATGGCTCATACATAATCACCACCCTTGGAGCAGAGCTTCCAGACCAAGAAAGACTTAAAAAAGAGGACTGATATTCTGCTCCTGAGATTAGCCGCTGACAAGCCTGTGGATCACAGTGGTGTAGAGCTGTCCGATTCTTCATTCAGTTGTGCATGGCTTGTCCATTAGTTGATGGCTGACTGGAAGGCAGTTAACAACGAGGATATAGTATGGACTAAAACGGTCACAAGTCAGCTCTGGTGGTGCCGTCTGTAGAGAGTTGTGCAGCTCATGCAAAGGCTGCATCTCCCTGGCAGACTGCTCTAAACTACCAGCTGCATCTCCCTGGCAGACTGCTCTAAACTACCAGCTGCTCCTCACGAGAAAGATGAGCACAAACAAGGTGTGTCATTTACAGCTTCCAAACCCTTCCTGGAGGGTCAGTGATGAGTTGTTCCAACTTGACGGCAGTGAGTCAGTAAGGTGCAGAATGTAACGTGTAAGACTGCTAACCAAAAGGCCAGCAGTTAGAATTCACCAGTTCCACCAAGAAAGAAAGATGAGCCATCTCCTGTAAAAATATGTACAACCTTGGAAAACTGTTGGAGGGTTACTGTGAGTTGAAAACAAAATGATGTCACGGGCATGGACAGTACAATTCGGTCATGTCATCAACTGGTAATTGAAGACATGAGTTCAGCTAGCGCAGTCCATAGAAAGTCGTGCTGTTTGCTCAAAGCCCACATCGCTCCGGCAGTTCTAATTCATCGAATGAGGATGGAAGGAGTACACAGAATCACTATACTAGAAAGAACTGGCTGACACCGAAGAAAGTTCAATATAAAATG